GCAACCTTGTGTACACATGACGTCACCACACGTGATATGACGTCATGTACCTTGTTTTCAGAGTTTAGAATCCTAACAAGCAACCTTGTTCCACTCTTCTTTTGTTTAACTAGGGGAGCTGCACTGATTGCAAACAACGCTCTTGCAATCAATCAAGCAAGTTAAAGTTTGTATCTCCCTTTCCAATCAGTGTGCAGCAATCTTCTGTCAGTCAGTACAACCAATCAGGACCACTCATCTACCTCCTCTCGACCAATAGAAATCAAGATATCCCTCGCACGTGACTCAGACAGCCAATCAGAGCGGAGCATTTGATCACGTGCATTATAAACCATGATAAGTATGCAAGGCACTTCAGAGTTTTTCAATCAGATTGATAGGCTCCCTACTTTATCTGATTGTAGATAGTTAGCTGGCTTCACTCCACACTGATCGGGACCATCTGCTCCTCGTTTCATCGACTGTTTTTATTTTTGCTTTTTTTGGGCCTTTGGAATGTTATTTTAAAAGCATCATGCATCAGCCTTGGATAAAACTTTAGGATTTTAATTTTCCGTGATTATAATTCCTGTAAGAAGCAGGATTATTGACATTTCATTCACATTCTGCGATTAAAGCTGAATTGATCTGTACTTTATTATTATTATCTCAATCGATGATTAATTTGCGCGTGATTTCATGGTTTTTAAATTCCAGACATACCAAGAACATGGTTTACCAATATGATGTGTCCAAGCTTTGGAGAGTTTGAACTCATTTCGTGTTAATTGAAATAAGAACCAGGGTGGTACTTATCAGACACTGGTTCAGAACACAGTTTATACTTTCCACGTGGATTGTGGAGCATACCAGGCTGTCTTCATTCCAGATCGATTAGGAATGCACATTGCACGTGCAGTTGAAACCAGGGTGTGCTTAATTAGAAACCCGAGTTGGGGAGAATTCTCATCTCAATTCCATACAGTCTCTGATAAATGAGACCATCTCACTTTCACAACTTTCAGCTTTTATCTTAATCAACACAATTCAAAATCTGACTGCAGTTGTTAAATTTATGTGACAGTATTTCACAAAAACCTTTATTTGCGACACTGTTCTGGAAAAACGTTGGTTTTATATTTTCCACCGTTGAGGGCCTCTTTCTTCTTCTAATTGTAACATCTCTCCTGTCTGAGCTTGTTCCTCCGGCGTGTGCTTGTAACATGATATCTAGAGAGCACCGGCTCAGATCACGTCTGATATTAGACTAGTGAACTAAGATCAACTGGTAGGGATTGAGGCATATTTTAGGACTGAATCACTACCGGACTGAATCACTATCAGTAGTGATATTTGGGTGGTAGTGATTCCGTCCGGTAGTGATTCAGTCCTACAATCAGCCAGAATACTACGTTTAGAATGTGACTGAATATTTTATATTACCTGATGATTCCGTTACCTGTAAATTGCGACACACATTACACACACATATGCGGTGTCATTGTCAATTAATGACTCATTACGTTACACACATGTCCCTGATCTGTTAATTGGTTAATTAGAGGTCTCTGTCCCCCTCATCTTGCCTCATCTTATGACTTATCACGGTTTGTTTGGTCACTACCACTAGGTTACACGGGTCAGGAGGTCTCTGTCCCCCTCATCTTGCCTCATCTTGCCTCATCTTATCACGGTTTGTTTGGTCACTACCACTAGGTTACACGGGGGTCGGGAGGTTGTTACATACCGTTTAGATTAGGTCACTGTAACTCATGGCTTAGTCGTCCTGGGCGTTAGTGTTACTCGTTTACCACTGCATTACAATCTGATTTAGTCGTTCATTATTATTTAGTCTCATCATTTCTGATTTGATATTTCTTTCATTCAAATTTCTGAAACAATCAGAAATTTGAATGAAAGAAACAGTGCATTACATGTTAGAACACCCCTTAAAGTTTAACCACCCCCCCCCCCCCCCCCCCTCTAGGGGTGGTAGGGCGGGGGGGGGGCACCGCTCCGTATTCTATTTTAAGCTATTTACATTCTTTACAATTGAGTTATTTACATCCGATACAATTGAGCTACATTGGAATTCAATAATGGAATCCTGATGCCACATCAGAAGCTTACTTTATATTGTGTGACACACACACACACTATATATATACGTATCATGTTTCGTTCAGTTTGTTACAGTTAAGTGTTAAGTGTGTTTCTTGAAACTTTCGCACTTTTCTTTACGTTTCTGATATATATATTATATAAGTTGTGCAATTTTGTCACTTTTATTCGAATCCCTTTGTTGGATTCAACTCTTAACTTTATAACATTTGTTCAGTTTATTAGCATCGTTTTGTACAAGTTCCCGCTCTAAAACATTATTTAAATACCGCTTACTAAGATCTGTGCCCTGCCCCGCTCTCAGACAGCATCAGGAGCACAGGTGTGTACAGTGTACAGTTAGAGGTGTATATGTGTGGTTAGTGTCGGTTTTCAGTTTGCTCAGTTTTAGGGATCGTTCTAATATTACGCTCAGGGGGAGTGGTTTGGAATTCTCATGGTGTGATTTCTACGCAGACGTATACATTTGCTTACGGGATGGGGATGGAGGTGGGGGCGTATTTTTCAAGTGCATCTTTATTTGGAGGTTTTCAGTTCACTGTGGTAGTGGTACAACCTCTCAGTCACCTTTATCCTTCCCCTAACAGATAATATATAATCTATCTAATCCTCTATAACCAGGTAACCGTACGAAAATATCATCCAATCACTGATACTGATTTACATAATTCGTCCAATCACATCTCAGGGATTTAGAAAATGAGGAATACCCCCTGAGCCCCGGGTATTATGCGAGCTTTACGTGGTGAATAATAAATAATTACTTAGCGACTCCATTAAATGTTTAAAGCAAAACTTTAAGATTTATTTACTTAGCAACACATACCTGGAGACTGGACAGTGCATACCTTTCCGACCATCATTATTATCTAAATATATATGCGCATATATTATCTAAATATATATGCGCATATATCATAAGAACATGCTGTCATACATATTCACGATCCTATGCGAGAGTGCGGTGGGCGATGAGCGGTCGTTGCAGTCGTGTAAGTTGCGTCTTGATACTCTAAGATCATGTACATAACAATTTTAGAATTAAATCCAACTCTCATATTCAAATATATGATACATATATAAATATAGCTGACCAGTATATACTATAGAATGCTTACTCTGCCTGTTCTCGACGTCAAGCAAGTTAATTTGTTGATCTCTCTCTCTCTCTCTCTGCCACACTGCCACACTGCCACACTGCTTTTAGAGTGGTAGTGTCACTTCCACCCCATAATACCTCGACTCTGCAGGCACACAAACTACCTTGTCTCTCGTAGCTAATTTAACTGAACACACGGTTTAAATCTACCCTAATTAGACGTTGTGTCTTGTTGTATTCCAATAAATCTTATTATTGAGGTTTAGTTGAGTTTAGCATTCGTCTTTGTTTTAGATTTGCTGTTGGTAGACATTTTCGGGAGGTTAACCTTTATTTTAGGGAATTATGGGGTTTTGCAGGATTGTTTGATCGTTGGATTGGGACAATTTGTATCTTGTGCATCGATTATTCCCGAATATTGAACTTGAATCCTGAGTAACGTCTTAAAAGTGCTGCTTATTTTAACGCTAACTTTGTTAAGTTGGCTATTTGTTTCTCGTCTTCTTTAGCTGCCTCCATTCCTAGCTGTCACTACACAGGTTCCACTACACTTGAGACATGATGGTAAGAACACTCCAAGAAAGGTGTCGCTTATAGGACTATAGGTGTAACTAAGGTGTTCTTTGACGTCCCTCTGGGTAAAAGGTGCGACCCTTTCTTCGAACTACTCCAATTCCAATTACACAACCTGACGACCTCGTTAAAGCCCCATTAACGTTACCAAGCGCCGAACATGGCTAATTGAAACTCTCTCCCCCTCTATATTGGCAGTGGTATCAGGTACCAATAAGATAATAACCCCACTTTGAAACTCAATACGAGTAAAGTTCGGAGGTGTGACGGGTAAGGATCACCGTTGTGAATTATTGTTTGCTACATAATGTTCTCTGAGCTTCCGTCTGATGTCTGAGTTGTCGTGGTTGTGGCGGGGGTACCTGACCCCCCCCCCCCCCCCGGTTGTGGTTGTTCTTTTTTAGATTTGAGACTTTTGTCGTCATAATCTGGTTGTAAACAAAGTTTGTTTTTTAACTGCCAGGATTTTAAACTGCTATGGTTGAAAACATAATATAATCTTACACATCAAACGTTATGCACTTTCCAATATTAGGTCTCACTTCGTTCGTATGATTTCTAAAATTGTTGGTAGCTGTGATAAACACAGATAGGTGAAATAATCCCTCCAATAATAGTTGTCTGCTCCTTCTCTAGCATATTTCTCCTATCTGCTTTGCAGTTATACCATTACACTGCTGTCTACATTCTCAGGTATAGTGTGTACTTTTACCAATTCAATGTTTGAGTAGGCCCGCGACCATCGCCGGTTTGTCCCTCCTATGCTGTATAACTTGTTGTTAATACCTTAGTTGCTCTGTTGATGTTGATATCACGAGTTGCTGGTTAATACAGTTTTATTATTTATAATGAAAACTTAGGTATGTATAAGCAGTATAACGTATAAATTGCCTAATTTCGCTGCTCTCATGCCTTATTTCGAATTGTTTGATTGTTCAAAATTTCTCAAAAGGAATACCCAGACATCATTTTAACTTAAATTAATTCATACTTTCTTTACCTAATTGTAGTGTTGATGTTTTAGTTTTTGCGATAAAAGAATTTGATTCAAGTCCGCAGTATATCAACATATTTTAGATAATTAAGACATTTGCCCGCTTATCAAGGTGTCATGACGTCACACCACGTGTCATGACGTCACACCACGTGTCATGACGTCACACCACGTGTCATGACGTCACACCACACAACTAATGTAACACCTCTAACTATTGTGTCTATCAGAATGTTTAGGATGCCATTCCTGCTGTATATCCTAGCTCTGCTTCTCCCTACATCTCTCTCAGTTCCTTTCTTCTTCAAGGATCAACCTCAGGACATGGTCCTTCAGGAGGGAGAGGAGGCAAGGTAATTATCATATTAATTTATTTAATTATCGTGTTAATTTATTTAATCGATTTTAATGTTGATTATCGTATGCTATGACAAATTTGATGTTCAATACGGATGAGAAACACATTTACAATTTATTGTAGGAAATATATCAGGGATCACTGCTAGTTTGCTCATTAACATAAAAATAGGTTCAATAACAGAATATGTTGTTCCTGTACCCTTCACCCAATGATCATCTTGTTACACTAACTGACTCATGAATATATTGATTGATATTTAATATGTGTATATATATATACCAAAATATATTTAATATATGTGTTCCGAGTTTTTCTCCATTTGGGATAATCGCCTGACGTCCATTTATCCGGACATTTCATAAACTGCCTGATTTTTAAGTTATCTCAATCGTATCCTTATTATGTTTTCATTATCGAATCTAGTTCAAGGTTCCAAGTTGGTTCTCGATATAATTTCAAGCTAAAAAATTATTAATTTTTGAATTTAATAAAATCAATAAATTTAAAAACTCTTGATTTGCTGCTAGGTTCTCTCCTCGATCTGTCCACATCCCCCGGTTTAATATCAACTAAATAATATCTGAATAACTAAATAAACAAAAAATAATATGAAACTAAAATTAACAACATTTCCAGGTTATATTGTATAGTGGACCCCCTTCCAGCTGGAGCCACATTTACCTGGTACAAGAGCGACGAGTTCAAAGTTGAAGAAAGTGTCATCGAGGTTTTTACTAACAAAATAAAACTTGTTGATATAATCAAAATCAGAATATATTTCTTAAAAAATCAAGTGATTAGTTTTCAAAATATGTCAAATATTTAAAACAAACGCAAATAACAAAATTAATAAACCAAAGTTTTGACGACAACACAGAAATTTACCCAGGAGAAACTAGAACCGTTGTCAGAGTTCCAAACCTCCGTGTTGTCCTACATGAGTGTGTCTAGAGACGCTACTGGTTACTACCACTGTAAGGTCCAGACCACTGAACCTGCCTATAGGATATTCAGTAGCACAGCTCATGTTGTGGTGAGTTAACGTGACGTCATATCACGTGGTGTGACGTCATATCACGTGTGGTGACGTCATATCACGTGTGGTGACGTCATTCATATCACGTGTGGTGACGTTATATCACGTGGTATGACTTCATATCACGTGGTGTGACGTCATCGTGATGTATCTGATTGCCGCTAAAGTTCATTAACAAATTTTAAAACGGCCTAGAATCCCCGTTTTACATCCTAAAAACATTGCAGTATCATTTCGCGAACATTTCATTTGAAAAACCTCTATTTATAATAGTTTCACGAACATTACCACCCAGGTAAACTACTTCGACTCCCCCGCTGACACTATAGTATCTGAGACGGTCACTCTAACCGACAACAAACCTGAAGCATATTTAGAGTGTGATATTGTCACAAGCTCACCAGAAATGGATGTTACGTGGTGAGTGTTACTTCAAACACAAGGATTTATTGTGTAACCTTGGCAACCTGACTCCTTTCCCAAACACAAGGATTTATTGTGTAACCTCGGCAGCCTGACTCTTTTCCCAAACACAAGGATTTATTGTGTAACCTTGGCAACCTGACTCCTTTCCCAAACACAAGGATTTATTGTGTAACCTTGGCAACCTGACTCCTTTCCCAAACACAAGGATTTATTGTGTAACCTTGGCAACCTGACTCCTTTCCCAAACACAAGGATTTATTGTGTAACCTTGGCAACCTGACTCCTTTCCCAAACACAAGGATTTATTGTGTAACCTTGGCAACCTGACTTCTTTCCCAAACACAAGGATTTATTGTGTAACCTCGGCAACCTGACTTCTTTCCCAAACACAAGGATTTATTGTGTAACCTTGGCAGCCTGACTCTTTTCCCAAACACAAGGATAAATTGTTTTCATGGCTCAAGTTACCTACAAATTAATTTTGTTTTTGTCGCGAGAATAACATGGCTTTATTTCAGGAAAAAGAACGGTCAAACCATTGCTGATAAGCGCATGTTTGTCTTTCCCGAGAAACAATTTGGTGCGAGGACCGTAGAAAGGGGTACCCTCCTAATAATGAACGTTGATATGGATAAGGATGCCGGGCTATATGAGTGTTACACTGTTACTAAAGTCGAAGTCGATGGAGTGAAGCAACAATTGTTGCTGAGTTCTTATCAGGTGTGTATAGTACGCAACTAATTGTGGACACTATAGATTATTCATTTTTAATGACCCATGTTTGGTTTGTTGCTCGATTAAGATGCAAGTCTAGCAATTACTGAAAAAAAATGCATACGCTATTATAATTGATGCGAAATTTAGATCCGTATCGTTTATATCATGTTGCGATTTCACGCTTCTAAGATTTTTAAATTTCACGATTTTACTTTATCCTTAATGTTCAGGTGAAAACGTCTCGTGGTTTTGACACGCCTAAGGATCTAGTACCCATCCCTCTGTTCGAGTCTTTCTCCCAGACGGGTGGAGCTGTCGAAATTTCATTAGGTTTGTTTTAAGTTTATGAAATGAGAATTCAATATATCAAATGAAACCAAAACACACGACAGAATCGACCTGGCGATGTGGAGCGTACTTTTTGACACCTGACAAATATCTAGGTAGTAGTGATCTCCATGACATTAACAAGCAAGCACCACCAGGTAGCCGAGTAACTCTAATCTGTGCTGCTAGAGGGTTCCCTACTCCCGAGTACGATTGGTTCATGGTTGGAGCATCGGGCGAGGTTGCCATCAGAGGCTCTGATTCTCTTCTTTTAGAGGTTTGTGTTTAGTTTCTGTGTTGTGACGTCACGTGAGTAGTTGTGACGTCACGTGAGTAGTTGTGACGTCACGTGAGTAGTTGTGACGTCACGTGAGTAGTTGTGTTTCTGTGTGGCTCCCTGTGGGGTAACTATGGTAAATGTTTTGGATTTGCTATTTATTATGGATTAATGTAATCCGGACGTAAGAATAAGACAAATTTGCCTTCCTTGAAGAGTTGTCTAAAAGGATACTTCCTAGAAAAAAGTCTTCCTCGCAGATTATCTTTTCCTAAACTCCTCCATTTACAGGACAACAACAAACCTAATCAGGTGACTAATTAACTAATTAACTAATTAACTAATTTACAGGACAACAACAAACGTCTTGTTGCCAGTAACATAGACGCAGATACAAGATACAAGTGTGTGATGAGTAATTCCGCTAACGGACGGGAGAACGAGAGGGAGACTAACTTCTACATTACCATTACTGAGGCCCCCGCTGACTACAGTATTACTGTTACTCAAATCCCCGCTAAGAACCATGTTCTTAAACCTAATCAGGTGACTAATTAACTAATTGACTAATTAACTAATTAACTAGTTAGCTGATTAACTGATTAACTTGTTGGTTACAGCTATATATCTCGTTTTTATTATCTTACAATAGGTCCTCACTCCTTCCAAAATAGACTTAGTCTTACTTTGTAAGTTAAGTTTCTAAAATCTAACTACTTTAGTAAACATTTCAAATATCATTACATTGATTGATCCTATTATGAAAGCTGTCATATTTGATACAAGAGAAACGCCATTTTCGGACGTGAGGAGAGTTAGGACTCCTCCAACTACATTAAATTAATTCCTTCTGTAACGTCCTTAATAAATGTTATAGATTTGTAGTGTAGTAATTAGTTTAAAACTTATATAGCATCCATAAGGAACGCCTTTATAGATTAAGCTATTAACCATCGATTATAAACCCTCAAACTATTTTCAGTACACACCCTTCACATTGGAGTGCTATGTGGAGAAGACCGGCCAGAATCAGATTCTTTGGCTAAAGAACGGAGAAAAGATGAAATGGAACGCTCGGTTCACCACAGATTACTCGGATAAGGAGATCGATGGGGTCATGTCCAAGGGGAGCACTCTCACTTTCGAGACTTCTAATGAGAGTGACATTGGTAAGTTATTGCTAATTGATTGCTAATTGCTGATTATTGCTAATTAATTGCTGATTAATTGCTATTAGATAGGGTATTAGATAACAACTTAGACTTGTTCAGGACAAAAAGAGAATTTTATAGCGTTTTCAGACGGCAGTGATTTCAATTTATTAAATTGAATTTTATGTTGACTAAAGTTGTATGTTGTCGTCGTTTTTAAGGCTACGTGACTTGCCGATTGACAACAGGAATCCTTTGCCTTTTAATGATTAATTATATGGTTATTTAAAGTTTTCTCTTATTCAGGTGTATACCAGTGTGTTATTGTGAACTCGAAAAGTTTGAAGACCGAGACTGCGTATGTGACTCTTGAAAAAGATTCCCTTTCATACGACATTGATTCCAGGCAACCTAAATATTTCTACCTTGCTGGACCATATCATGTGAGTTTAAAAGATATTTGACCCTTTATGATTTTAATAAAAATAAATACTTATACCTAGAATAAATTATAAGGTTGTCCGGTGTTTTAACATGTTGTCTATATGCAGGTGGACGAAGCGGAAGAAGCTTGTAACAACGAGAAAGCACATTTAGTCAGCATATTAGATGAGAAGGAGAATAGTAAAGTCCAGCAACTTGCTGCACAAAATAGTGTAAGTTGCACTTTCACTTCTCACTTTCACTTTTACTTTCACTTTCACTTTTGTATTATATTTATAACTTATCTTGAGCGTTGGGCTGACGTTGGGAGAAAAATACAAGTCAGCAGTGATTATATTTATTGAGGTGATACTCCATTGTAAAAAGCTGAAACTAGTCGAGTCACAAGCGGATTGCTTCCATGACTCCTTTCAATTGCAATCTTGATATCATGTAAGAACTATACTAACATTAGGAGCATATGACGAAAATCTAGCGATGACAGAAATCGTAAATCGGATGTTTAAAACGTATCCAAACTATGTTAAAGTCGCAGAGGCTAAAATTCAGCATTACAATTGATTCCTCTTACAATTATCATCTTTACAAATTACATTTATCAACATGGTGATAATTATTAATCTTATGTTTTACGGTTCCTTAACTGCAGGCGAACAGTGTTTGGATCGGACTAACGAGGGAAGTACCGGAGCCAGTTGGATCCTGGGCCTGGACTCTGTCCGAGGATACTGCCACTACATTTAGTAACTGGGATAATGGTTCGTTCAATAGATAATATTACTTTTTATACTCTTCATATTCCTAGAGTTCAGAGCTTTCCGGTCACATATGATCCGGATTAAAATACGGTGGAGCAATATCTCGAACTTCTTTATAGTGATTTCAACTTTAAACCATCATAGATTAACCTAGCTGAAGAGCTTATCTTATTGCCTGCTATAACCCACTCTCTTATCTCTTATCTCTTCCTCTCAGATAAGCCTGATAACAAGTACGGAGCTCAAGAGTACACGGTTATGTCACAAAACAACGGGAAGTGGGTGGATGTTAATAAGAACATGAAGCGACCTGCTGTTTGTAAGAAATACGAGGTCGTTTGTAGGTCTATAGACGAGTCTTATAGAGGTTGGTACAGTGCTGTTTGTTTTTAATTCTTTAAAGCCTCAATTATTCGATCGAACCGAGTACGGATACCGAATTCCGAATCCGAATATTTTGCGAACTACTCAGTAAAAAGTTAGTGGAGAGAACTCTCTCCTGTTTTTACCTTTTCTCGAACTATCTCGCCGTGTCTACCAGATTAAGCTACCATAGCACTTGTTAACGCCAAGTTATACAAGCCCCGTAAACACCTTCCTTTTCTTAAAAACTGTTGTTATGTCCTGCCCCGAAGGGCAATGCTACGTAGAAAAAGTTACATTTATACTGCCATGACTCACAAAATATATCGTTGTGGTTTAGTTGTTAATTGATTAGTAATCAATGATTATTTAAGTGATTAGCAGGCGATAAAGCCTACTTGCAGTAATGATAGATTGCCACAATGTTATGTAAACACTGCCAACATGTGGTTACTCCGTCAGTTCCTGCTGCGGAATTATAAGTAGTTGCTATCACCCGTATCCTCACATTTGTGTACTGGCTACTCATCGCTTACTATTTCTTGCCGAATTATAATTTGGAAAGCAAAATTAGAAACTGGAACTTTGTTTTAGCTTGAAATAATTGAGCGTTGTTTATTCGCAACTGGCGGGGTACAGCTGATCATCATGTTCAATCAATGGTGTCTAAATTAGGGTCGCAATTTGCAACCCCCACAATTAAGGCCACTATCGAGCAGCATTGTAAGATGTCTATGTTTCAGGACGAGTCAGGGCCCGAGGCTGGGAGTCAGTCGGTGCAACCTATGAGGTAGGGCAACAAGTTGAAGTCTTCTGTCGCTTCCCCGGAGAAAAGGTACGTTTATTTCTTAGCTTTTTATTTCTGAGTCTCATACTTCATATTACGGTGCTATCTCAGTCATAAACCGAACAATGCTGAGTTTTTAGAAAATTATTTGGCACGGCCATGTTGACCACTGTTTCGTTGACCACTGTGAGATCAATACAACTCTAACAGTTGAATATCATGTTGAGCACTCCTATTTAAATATAACCACCTTTCTCGCAGGCACTGAGTGTTACAGCAGTCACATGTGGACAAAACCGAGAGTTCTCCCCAGAAATCTCACTCGACGAGTGTCCACAAGTTGACTCCTCCACCCCTTCCCTCCATATATCCTCAATTCTTTTAATTATCACTTTAATAATACGTGCTCTGAGGACATCTTGAAGTCCTTTCCTCACCCAAAGTTATAGTTATATTGTTCTAATTTTGATAGGGTTTAAGGTATTAATAATGCTTCGTGATGAAGGTTGCATTTTTCCAACTTTGCAAAATGAGTTTCAAGCGGGATGGTTGAAATAGCCGTCCATTCGTTTGAGAGTATCTTAAACCAAGAAAAGACTTCACATTGAACATTTTAGGGAACTTATTTTTGAATTAGATCAAATCTGAGACACAAACTGATGTTTAAAGCTCAAAAATCTTGTCGGCATTGATGGGATGCAGTGTGACATGTCACATGACTTATTTAGGGCTGGATTCAATAAACTAGCATTTTTAATCTCTTTCAGTATGATATGATAAAATATTCCCTCAAGGTTTTGATACGTAGGAAAATGTCTTTGGTTAAATTTATTTATAAGCCCAGCAGTATTTCCGACTGTTTTTAACTTTATAGGTATTTTAACATAGTTGGATACCGCAACTAGCAAATGTTGTGTGTGATCAAGGAAAATACTTAGTATCATTAATGGGCACTATGTTTCTGTTAACTCTAAAATCATCATATTTGGACAGGTGCGTCAAAAATATTATTTACAAAATATCGTGGTAAATATAAATTGAATTTCATGCGATATGTGATAACAGCGACAGCGATCTACAGTGTTAGATGATATCTTCGGCTTTAAAAAGTGTTAATTTTTCACATATTCCACTATTCTACTGTGTGTCAGATGACAGATGAGCAATTTATCGATTTTTAAAAATTATGATTTTTAAACACTCATAGAGCGGTCCCCTAAAGGTCCAAGAGAATTTATAAGCGTAATCACGAATCAAGCCATTCCTTGGTAAGATTGAAATCAGACTATGTATGTAGCAACATACAGTTTCACTGAAATCGCCTAAAACATTTTGTGACGATCTTCATCTGCTTGTTTTAAACCTAAGAAAACGATTCATTATTCTGAACTTTCACAATATTTCTAAACTTACAGTAAATATTTAACTCTAAGTGCACCTAACCATGGTAACATGTAACCATGGTAACATGCATAACTGTAATACTGACGGGTTTTTGTTGAGGGATCTAGCTAACGGCAAATGAGTTGATGCTATGCTAATCTTTGTTTGTATATATACACTTTTTGTAATTTTAAAGCATGAGCTATTTCATTATTTTTAATAAGTTTTAAAATTACATGTTTTTTATTTCGCAGCTTAATTGGTTTACAAAACCGTGCCAGTACACAGTACCACCAGTACCACTAAATAGAAACAAAGATAAATTGAAGTAGTGTAGCCAGTCCATAGTCATACCTTGTATCACGTTGCGACCCCCATTGTCATACGTTGTATGACCCGCCGCGCACGAAGTGCGCGGCTCCCCCTGTAGCGTCGAAGACGCTACAGTGAAGCGGCAGTGGTGAGGATGATAATTAATCACTCTACACTCGACTGTCACGTGACTTTTTCAACCCGTTCTCTAGCTGGTCCTGAAAGACTATTCTAGGTAGTGCGCCATCGACAGTGAGCCGCGCGTGCCGACTGTAGGATGGTTTTTTAGCGCTAATTTCGGCCAGCACAATTTTCTTCAAACAAATAGATATTAAGTATCCTTCCCGACCTCCGATTGCAACAAAAATTGGTAAGCTTACTCATAGACTTACAAGGAAGGTGTCCGAAAAGTTTAAAGCATATCCAACCATCAGACATTATGTTACAGCTAAAAGCAGCGTATTTTGCACCATTTTGATCACTAAATCAACTCCGATACCCACCAAATTTTTCGGACAGTTGTGAAAGCCCTATTGGAAGGTCGTCGCCAATTTTTAGAATGATCTCATTCAAGGAACTGAAGATATATCCAAATAATACGACAAAAATCAACGAATTTGGTCAAATTTGGTCAAATTACGCGACTTTTACAGCTAATTTTGCTCCAAAAGCCGCGCACCATCAAATATGGCACCTAGGCGATACTCACTGATCTTTTCAAAAAGGTATGACAAATTTGGTATTGTGAAAATTCTCACAGTCTCTAGAAAACAATGGTACAAAAATTTTTAAAATCCGAGCAAGTTTATTTTTATGGTGATATAATTATAAGTAGGGGGTGCACCATAAAAATAAACTTGCTCGGATTTTAAAAATTTTTGTACCATTGTTTTCTAGAGACTGTGAGAATTTTCACAATACCAAATTTGTCATACCTTTTTGAAAAGATCAGTGAGTATCGCCTAGGTGCCATATTTGATGGTGCGCGGCTTTTGGAGCAAAATTAGCTGTAAAAGTCGCGTAATTTGACCAAATTTGACCAAATTCGTTGATTTTTGTCTTATTATTTGGATATTTCTTCAGTTCCTTGAATGAGACCATTCTGAAAATTGGCGACGACCTTCTAATAGGGCTTTCACATCTGTCCGAAAAATTTGGTGGATATCGGAGTTGATATAGTGATCAAAATGGGGCAAAATACGCTGCTTTTAGCTGTAACATAATGTCTGATGGTTGGATATGCTTTAAACTTTTCGGACACTTTCCTTGTAAGTCTATGAGTAAGCTTACCAATTTTTGTTGCAATCGGAGGTCGGGAAGAATACTTAATATCTATTTGTTTGAAGAAAATTGTGCTGGCCGAAATTAGCGCTAAAAAACCATCCTACAGACACAGTCGGCAAGCGCGGCTCACTGTCGATGGCGCACTACCTATTATAAGCGGGATAAAAATGCTCTATTTCATTTCATTTCATATTATTATATTTATTACGCCTTAACCCCTCCACGAATGTTACTGTGCGGCTCAGGGCTGGCCTCAGATCAATGCGCAGAAAACAGAAGAGGTTTGGCCATCGGCAAGAATACATCACAGAAGGCCATATACTTAAGCATCACAGTTGGACATTAAAGTAGAGACACCGGCTATCAGCAAGTCAGCAACTTCACTTACCTTGGGTCGACTTATATCAAGTGGGGACTATGACCGGACTTTGTCTGCACGGATCCGGAAAGCCTCAGGTGCATCTCAATCAGCTCAGGTAATATTTGGATGAATCGCAATATCCAAACTAACACAAAATACGGATAGATGTTGCAGCGAATCTAACAATGTTACCTTCCTTATGGAAGCGAAGTATGAGAACAACGACTTCAAAGCAACTACAACGTTCGACAGTTTCTTCATCAAATATGTTGAGGAGATCTTCGAATTAAGTGGTTTCCACCGGACGAGCAATGTTCAAGGTGTTGGAGCGGGCAAGAATAAAACCCGGTTATAAACCTACATTCATGCCAACCGTCTTCGTCGGTTTGGGACATGTTTCCTGAATGCCGGACACCAGGCTACCAAAGTAACTATTTGATTGGACACCTGCTCCACGGCCGACAGGATCAGTGGGCGGCAACGAAGAATTGGCGGAACCTGTGTCCTAGAAGAGCAGTAACATTCACAGGAGTTCCAGAATTTTATTTGTTAAGGTCCGAGAGTTGGCAGGAAAACCGAAAGAACTCGGAGAGTTATGATACGGACATAGGCGGCAATTTCCTTGGTGCAGGCCAACTCGAAATGATTGAAGGGACCTTATCAAGTATCAAGTAAGTAAGTTATCTATGTTTCCTCGATAATTGTACATAGATAGGAGTTTGTTTTATTTTTGATACTTAAAATTAAATTGCAATATTTTGCACCTCTAAGAGAAATAAAACTCAGTATTCAATGTAACTTTAAATATGGTCATTTTAAACAAACACAAAAAACAAATACATTTCTTTAAGAGATTATCATAAAATTTGGTTTTTTATAGCTTCGGTTACTAAAACAAAAGTATAGTATCAGTAAATAGTATCGTATAATTAAATAAGAATAAAAGTTAAAATCGCTTTATAGCGAAAAGAAAAACTAACAACTACAAGTTAACAGATTCGGTGAAGCAATTTGATCTATACAGTTACTTTAAATACTTTACAATTATACTCTAAATACCAAAAAACTATTTTCTGACGCTTATTCTGGAGCTGATCGTCTTTTCTGATTCGTCTTCTGGAACGATCTTCTTGAGCTGATCGTCTTCTGGTGTGATCGTCTTCCAATCTGTGCGACTGATCGTACTTTGTACTGGGAAATCTTCTACGTTTACGGGGATCTTCACCGTCGGCGTTATCTGGGAATCAGCGGATTCGTTTCCAATAGATGGTTCAGGCTGATCAGCTGATCGTCTTCAAAATCAACAAATTCTTCACCGTTTCATCGGAATCTGCCTCTGATCGTCTTCTTAAAACTCTCGCAGGGTTGAAGTTTGGCGTTATTCAATCAGGACCAAAACCGGAAGGATGACACTGAATCAGAGCGATCAGTCCTTGCACTAGTAGAAAACAAAATTACTTTCGTCATTGCTGCGGGTATATGGTGTTTTTTTAAAAGATAAAGATAATAGGATACGATTATGGGGAGGGGGGTCATGTTTTTTCGTCCGTTTTTGTTTCCGGGCGGTACCCTATATTTTCAAGACGGACAAAAATAGGCGGACAAAACGGACAAAAACGAACAAAAAATTGTTGAAATAAATTTAATACATCTTTTCTACACGAATTAGGACTCATGCTTACTCAGTTATCAGTATTTTTAACATTCAGTCGATATATCCTGTCATGTTGTATTACATTAAGGGACGCACAAATTTAGTTACCATAAATTTAGTCAAAAGATTTGAGCTAAATTTTTCGGCGACTAATTTTAAAGGAGACCAAACTTCAGTAGGCATATTAGCATATTGATATATGACATAAATATTATTGAGCTTACATTGTCTATATTTAATATAATGACAATCACCGGTCCAGACGCTTCGAACTACTTTGTTGGAGGAAAGACAAATGCACGAAACTTCGAAGCACAAACATTGTACCAAAGTTCCTATTTGCACATTAGAGATCTTCTTGGACATTACATTGGACAATACATTTTTAATCGATCCATCCCATATATGTTCTGTTGAATCGGCTGAGGTTCATGAGAATAAACTACGTGTACGACAGAAAGAAATGGTTAAGTCGAATAGGGTGAAAAAATAAACCGATCTGGCGTACTGAAGAACTTAGTGGTACAGAGTCACTGTATCTGATCTGGTTGTATTGAAATTCCTGAGTAATGCATTGCAGTTCATCCTGTTAATGCTCAGACGGGTCATTACCGAATTGCTAAATAGAATGTTATTTTTATACACATTATTTGTTTTATTTATTTAATGCAACGATCATTTCATCAATTTGCCTAACGTTAAACTATAAAGTTATGACTTTATATGCGATTCGGGGGGTAATAACTAGCTAAATAATCGGAATAAATCGAATGAACGGAATGGAACATGGTTTCGAAAAGTCGAAAAAATGTGACCATAATTGTTGTAGACTAAAAATTTTGCGAAATTTGTGACTAAAATTAGGGTATCTCAATTTTATTGTGCAACCAAATTTGTTCGTCATATCTAACTCCTAAGGTATTTTGATTATTGGTGAAGTACAATTCTTTATTCCAACTGCAGTTGTCCCCATGAAATGGAGGCGTTATTATGCATCCCTTGATTAATCATTGCTGACTTTTAATGATATCTCCGAAATTCTTTAATGTAATGTAATGGACCGTTGACATTTTGCTTCGAGCCTTTTTGGTATAATTTTTAGACCCTGGTTCCTCTCATTTGAGAGCTTGTTAAGTTTGATTTATTCATGAGCTAAAAACCGTTGACCGTTCATCAACCATTAAAATACTTTTCTTCTGTAATTGCGACAGTGAATGAGTAAATTTGATTTACTGATGAGTGAGAATATTATGTTCACTAACGATTTTTATTCAATTGCATCGTTTCGTATTGTATTGTATCGAAATTGTATTTGGATTGTATCGAATTGTATAGATTGTATGGATTGTTATAGGATATTGTATCAACCCTGGGGTTTATTATCAAAGTGTCATATTTGATCTTGGCCAGGACAAATATTATTTTAATAACGTCAAAAACATTGATCAAGGAGAAGCCAACTAGCACTGGCGGGGTTGATCATCAAGAAGACTATCTATATACGGTCTATGGAAGATGTTGTTCTAAGGTTAACAACTGTGGTTATTTCAGGAATTGGTCATATCATTTGTTGTCCATTAGCTGGTATGAAGATTGTTTTGAGCAGGTATGTTTGTGTAAAACTGCTGTCCTCA